AGGAGAATGAGCTCTGTGGTGGCCTCGTTGAGGTGGTTTCCCCAGCAAGACTAACCTGTCCTGGGGCAGCCAGGGGTGCAGTGGGTAAAGCACCAGCTCTGCAGTCAGAGGACCTGAGTTCAAGTCCAGCCTCGGACACCTGACATTTCCTAGCTGTGTGACCCTAGGCAAGTCACTTAACCCTGACTGCCCCCCCCCAAAAAAGGACTAACTTGTCCAAAAATGAATTGAGGATATTCATTACAGCCAACAGGTAACTGGAGAGGAAGGACAAGATGGTGTCAGAAGGCCCATACGGTGCCACAGCACCTAAGATCCTATACAGCTCCCTTGTTAGCCAACCCTAAATAAAGAACTATTTCAACCCCAAATTCTCATGCCCCCAGCCAATTACTGAGCTCAAATATATCAAAGCATAGATCCGGAAGTAGTGGTAGTACAGAAGGGACACCACACTCCCCACCAATCACCACACCAGTCAGACATGGGCCAGAGCTTTACCTGAATAATCAAAGAGACGCCACGATGGCAGAGTTGAGGCAGCATCACCCCCACGTGGAGGCCGGATGAGAAGCCTGGAGCACCCACCATCCTGCTCTCCCCCAGCTCAGTCCTGTATCGAATATCCTCTATTAATCACTTCCGGACATCGGGGTCTCACGTGTGGGGTGGTTCTTCCTTCCCTCTAGTGCAGATGTTGGGTTACCACGTAACTGTCATCAGGAGGCACTGGCCACCAAATGGAGGAATGCAAATGGGTAAGAGAAACTGATCAAGTGTCATTTAAAACTCCCAGAGCTCACCTATGGCCCTCAGTCTGAATGTGGTAGCAGGTGGCCCTCGTTTAAGTGCTGAATGAACAGTGCAAACAATCTATGAATTCCCAGAAGGGATAAAGAAAGCACCGTGTCCTGCAATGGTCAGGGAAGACTTAGAGCTGGGCCCTCAGCATCAGTGAGGCCTTCACAAGGCAGAGGAAGAGGGAAGGCACATTCAGGTGCAGAAAATGGCAGGAGCAAAGGCGTGAAGCTGGGAGAGAACAAGCGGGAACCCGTCGCAGGGACTCTGGCTAGACCCCAGGGTCCCTTCTGAAAAGCAACCGGAAATACACTGGGGAAAGCAGCTTAGGCCAGCCTGGAGAGGGCCTGAATGCCAAGCTGAAGGATCTGGCCTGAAGGGAGGATCCCGCCCTTCTGATGCAGAAAAATCCCTGTCACTGAAACGGGGGAATCTGAATGAGTCCAGAAATTTGGGGCTGGAAGGGCCCTTAGAGGCCTTCATGTAACCCCTCCCCTCATTTTGCAGATAAACATTTTCAATTGGCAAATTCTGTTCTAGAGTACCCCAAATGGGCAAAATGTTTTAAAGAAAGGAACACCCAGGTCCAGTAAGAAAACAATCTTTAAAGAAAAGAATAATGAAAATTCCAAGTTACACCCCATAGTATAGTAATGCTATTTTACAATTTCTTTAAACTCCTCCATCCTGAGGTCTCACTCTCCACGACCCCAATTTCAGGAAGGACCGCCCCAGCCAGGCACCCCAGCCAGGCGTCGCTTCCCTCCCAACTCCACTCCCTGGATGCCTTTGTCTTCTCCTTACCCAGCACCTACCCCACTACGGGCACCCTTCCTTGTGGCCTCTCAGCTCTTCTGGGTGGGTTGTCTTCCCTTAGCACTCTGAAAGCTCCAAGAGGGCAGGGCCGGCTTTGCTTCTCTGTTTTTGCATCCCTGGTGCTTGGCATAGGGCCTGGCATACAGTAATCCCTGAATAAAACACTATGATCTGGCTATCCTTCCAAATACACGTTTGCAGCCTGCTGTTCAAGGATGGCTTCCGAGTATGGGAAAATCATTTCTGAAGGCCCTCACGCTTTCAAAGCCTCTTCTATCTTTAAAAAACCAAAAAGCATCCCTCTGGTTAATACATGGGTTTATTCACATTTGTGAAATGGGAAAATCACATTACAAAGTTAAAAACTGCTGTGTTACATAGTAGCAGCAAGGAGAGAGTCAGTCCACAGCCGAATTACCTGAACTTTCTTGCTGCAGCTGATATAAACAGACTGGTGTGTGCCTTTGGGGGCGGAGGCGGGGAAGTTTCCACGCTGCCTTCCTGTTTCTCACAGTGAAAACAGGGCCCCAAACTCTGGGACGATCAAGCCTGAGAGCTCCTTGGTACAATCTCCTTACCAAACCCTCAATATCCAGCTATATGAGTACAGCTATTTTAGCGCACGCCGCAGAAAAACCCGTCAACACCCAATATTGACAAAGCATCTATATCTGGACAGGAAGGTGGCTGTCCTTTGATGGCACAAGAAGGCTATTCTGAAAGACCTCATGTGGGTGTCTTAGGCACGAAACTTACACCACAGAGAAATGGCCAACAGAAGAACTCATTTAAAATAGAATTCTCAAGGCAACGGCAGCCAGAACCACGGTGGGCTTAGAATTTCTAACTAAGCGTACCATCAGTCATCCTCGCATGCTTTCCTAGGGCACTCGAGGAGGTGAGCTGGGCAAGCCTGAGCAGGTCCTAGGCCAAAGTGGAGAGCCTACGTCTGACCCAGTGATGGTTTCTATGTCTGTTACCCATCAAACAATGTGTTTAGCAGAAGAAACGGCCTATATCCATTAAAATTTTGACAGGAAATGTCAGGGGAATTCTTGCTCATGGACCAGTTTGCTAAGTTCAGAGATGCTCACACGTGGGCTAGCTGCCAAAGGCTGCCATATTTTGGCTACAGCAACTCTCAAAGATCCTATTAAGTTACAGGGAAGCTGCGGTCTGCATTAGCAGAGGGCAACGCTGCACTACCATTTATTAGGTTAACACACAATTGAAGAAGTGCCCAAGTGTAGACTATTTTAAAATACACATAAAGAAAAATGCTGTAGAGCCGTGAAATTTTAACACCACCTAAAGCTTTGTGCCCCTTCCTTTGTGCCAAATAACGCCCTACAGTAAGTCTGTGATCATTGTTCAAACTCCCTGGCTTCTAGGTGATTTCTGGCCGACCTTTTAACTGTTCCCTTTGATTCTCAGCAAAAGGAACCTTTACCAGCCCTTGTTAGACCCTGTGAGGCATTTTAATGTGGGAAAATAAATTAATTTCCTTCATGTAAATGTGTCCTCTCACTATTACATCATCTGATGCAAACAATTAAAGGTCTCATCATCACATTCAGTGGTGTATCTATGAATGTCTACAACTCTAGAAACAAGGTCCAAGACTTGTTTTTTTTTCAAAAGTCTAAACAAATACACCTATTTTTCATTCTGAATGAAGAATAACTAAAAGGGAAAACTAGAGAAGGAATGGATGTTCCCTGGGGAAAAAAAAAAGTCTTACATTCTGTATTAAAAAAAATATAACTGATCCAAGTAAAGAAATATACATTTTATTTTTGTGAACTGGGGATGAGTAAAGGCTGATGTGCTCTGGGCACTGAGGTTCTACACAAGAAAAGTATCTAAAATGTCAATATGGGAAAATGAGGAAATTTCTCAAAGCCGCCATTTTAATCATCTGCTTCCTCTGCCCTCGACCTCCTTCCCTCATGAGGGCGTGAGGACAGGAGAAGCTGGCGGCCATAGCGTGCTGCCTGCTGCTGTCAAAAGGACAGAAAGTCCAATCAAAGATGACTCCCGACTTACGGGACAACTCCAATACCGCAATACAGAAGTGAGCCTTTTGTGCCATTGGTAAGGGCTGAGGGTCTTGGCCCATATCCCCTTTATATCAGTCAATTCAGAACACCTAACTAGGGTTTCTAGTGAGTACCCCAGGAATCGTCCTGGCTGAGGATAAGTGAGCATCCATTGGGGATGGTCTGCACACATCTGTGGAATGTTTGAGCTAGAAGAGCCTTCCATCTGGTTCACCCCTTTCATTTTACAGGGGACGAAATGAAGCCGAGATGGTTCCTCATGTAGTGAACGGCGGGCGGCTGGCCTCCACCCTGCATCTCCTAATTCCCAGCGGAGGGGTCTTTCAGCCGCTATCCCAGGTGTGGCCTTGGGATTTTCCTCACTGTGACATTGGACTAGGCAGCTTTTCAGTTCCCTTCCCACTGAGACGATGATTTCTATAACACCAACAGCAGGGACTTTTCTCTTAATGCAAAAAAGGTGGAGGATTCTCTTGCTTTAATTAAACATAAATTAAGGCATTTCCTCTCTCCCAACTACTCACAATAATTTTTTTGGAACTTTAAAGACATGTCAAAAATAAATGTATTAATATCCAAAAGCTTCAGCAATCACACAAAAGAACATAGGAAAGGAAGGTAGAAATCTCAATATTGCTTTCATCGTGAATATTCTAAACTAAGCCAAAAGCACTGTGAAAACCAGAGTGCCTCAACGAAAAGAGTATTAATTTCTTTTTACATGAATATAATTCATGAAAATGAGATAAGCCAACTTTTTATAAGATGAAACAAATTATTCACAGTTTATAGTTAAGCTCTTGAAACATCTAAAGAAAGTATACTCTAACACGCTCCAATCTTATTTAAAACATGAAATCCACCTCCTCTGATAGCTCTCTGAGGCAGCTAGCTGGTGGGCAGTGCACAGAGCCCTGGGCTTTCAGTGAGGAAGATTCAGTCCAAATCCTGCCTCAGACACTTACTGGCTGTGTGACCCTGGGCAAGTCACTTCTCTTTGCCTCAGTTTCCTCAACTGTAAAATGAGGATAACAATAGCACCCACCTCACAAGGTCATTGTGAGAATCAGATGAGACAGCATTTATAAAGAGCGCTTAGCAAAGTGCCTGGCACAGAGTAGGCACTGCATCAATGCTCATTTCCAGAACCAGCGGCAGCCAGGAAGGCTATGAGGATGGGCCCAGCACCCCAACCGCCGTGCTGGCCGCCTGCAGACTCCCCACCAGGCCCGGGGCGGGGGCATGGCTTTCTTGAACACAGCAACTCAAGGATGAATACAAACATGACATCTGATTTTTATTGCTACTAATAAATGAAATTCCTACCTTCCAGATGGTCTTTGCACTGTCGGGAGTTATGCTGCAAACTGTCTACATTCGGTTTACTTGACTGAATCTGGTTACTGTAAAAATAAAACAAAACATCTGGCTTAAAAAGAACACAAATGCATTAAGAAATTCTTTTATTCATGCTATTTTCATTCTTCAGATCTTTCTTAACAATATTCCCAATAAAATAGAATTACATGACTCAGTCTTTACACTGTTCACAGTGGAATCTGATTACTACGGAACATATATGAAGAAGATGGAAAATAAAGTGCTATGCCAAGTATTTCAAATAAAACGACAAGGTGTTAAAACCAGAGTCCTCACCTTGACCAGGGGTGCTGTGGATTTTCTCCCTCAAGAAATGGACTTTGTAATTCTACTCTGAACAGTAAAAGTTTCCCTTTAAGATTTCTGAAGATGCAACATAGATGAAGAGACATTACGTTTGAACAGAGGTCAGTGCTTTCTTCTGCTGGCCTAGCGTGTCCTGGAATGCCAGGGAACAGTAGGAATGACCACCCCTGCTCTGCCCCCCAACTGCACCAGAAACACTCAGCTTTTTCTTACAAACAAACAAAAAGGATTCAAGAGAAACACTTGGCAGGACCCCTGGCATTTGTAATAGGACAAAGACAGAAAAAGTGAGTCTGGGGCCAACATCTTCCTTTGAACCATGAGCTACAAAGCGATCACGTGACGGCCAATTTCGATAAAAAGGCAGAAATGTATGACTGGCATGACAGCTGATTTGCTAATGTAGTTTCCCTTCAGTTATTTCAGTCTTCCCCAACAAGCTCTCTCTCCACAAGCCCTTCCCTGAGGCCTGTGCAGGCCCTGGCTGCGGCATGAGTGACCTCGGGCTCTCCAAGGGTCTGCCAGCAGAGGGCAAGTTCTATGGAGTGTGGTACCAGACAGGCTCTAAGCACCAGCCCAGAGAACTTCCTGAGTCTACAACTGAGGCTGGCACTTGATCCAGGAAACCAATGAAACAAAGAAAAGGCCCAAGATACCTGGATCCCATCAGACCCCCTTCTGCATCTGCAGGGATGGCGGCAGCAGGGAGAAGGAGGCATCTTTCAGTATTAATATAACTGCTAGTACCAATGAGTGACATACGACTAGGGACAGTGCCATGTCAATCCTGACATTCTAACTACCTAGGACCAGAAGACGAGCATCGCAGAGACGTGTCCTCAGAAAAGCAAGTGAACCGGGGATGTCTCAAGATCAGGGATAACAGGTGGGTGGGCAGCCTGGGAGCTGCACCGGTGACATGGAGATGCTCAGAGACCCAGAGCAAGGCCCCCAGCAGGGTGTCCAAGGCCATCGGGAGAATAAGGACAAATGGTGCCCAGCCATCGATGGGCTGTGTCTCAGCCTGCGAGCACACTGAAGGGATCACAGAGCCAGTCAAGGGCTGAAATGAAGGCAATCATGAACGAAAATGGCAGGAGCACCCACCCTGCTGTCAGTCCGGCTAGGCTGACGAATCGTTTCTGTGGGGAGTCAGGGGTTAAGAAGCACTTTCCCCACTATCATACAACAAGGCAGATCATGCAAGTGATATCACCTCCATTTCACAGGTGAAGAGAAGGGAATTTGTGTCAATCAAGGAACCACAGCTCTCTGAAGACTGCTGAGCGAGGGCACATCAGGTCTCTCACTTAGGAAACCAGTTCACATCTGTTATTTAAAACCCTAGAAAAAGTCCCAAGATCTTCGATATTAAGGAGAAATTTATGACAGCTGATTTGCTAATGTAGTTTTCCTTCAGTTATTTCAGTCTTCCCCAACAAGCTCTCTCTCCACAAGCCCTTCCCTGAGGCCTGCGCAGGCCCTGGCTGAGGCATGAGTGACCTCGGGCTCTCCAAGGGTCTGCCAGCAGAGGGCAAGTTCCATGGAGTTCACATCACTGAAACAAGTAAGGAATAATTCACTGCCAGTGTAAAATTGTTAAGCCCCATGTATCACAGCAAACCTGCTGCTGGCTCTTTACAGACTACGGCTATTCAGCACGAACAAAAAGGGGCTAAGATAACCGCTGCTCCAACACGGAGCATCTTCCCACAACAATCCAACACCAAGCTGCAGTAGAGACGCTATCAAAATGAACTGAAACGCAGGACGGAGGATGCTTCATCTTCCTGATGAACGCTTTCAAACTGTTCAGCTGAGTGATGCCTTCAGGATACTGACATCCAAGCCTTTACGGGTCAGAAGGTCGGAGATGGACAGCCCTTCCAGGGTCCGCTCCCCTCTTTTCATTTTGTAGGTAAGGAAAGAGGTCCAAAGATATTTACAGGTCTGCTGGTTAGCCTAACACAGACATCTGGACATCTAATCCCGAATTATACAGTTATTCCTTCCACATTGTGGGAGGGTTAGGAGAGCGGCCCCACAATCTGGAAAATTGGTGTGAAATTTTTAGCCCTCCCTTTGTACCAGAGAAGAAGTCTGAATTGTTTTTTTCTTTTATGCGATGTTTACAGTACCTATTGTAAAATGTGGGTTAAGTATTTGACCAAAGGTTCTGTGGCTCTGCCAGCCTTCTTGTCTGCAGCTTCCACAAACCTCCCCCAAAATTCCCATTTAATTTCTCATGCAGACTTGCGACATATCGAAACCACTATGGGGACAGTTGTGATGTGGAAGGGATAACTATTATTATTATTATTACCTCGAGATTTGGATAAATGCTTCAGAATATGAAGAAAATGCAGACCTAGAATGCCTTTACAAAATATGGCTGTATCTCTATACAGTAAACCAACCCAAACGGCTTCCCTGTCGCCCCGTGCGTTACCTGCCGGGCCGCGCTTCTCTCGTGCCGCTGCCCTCCAGGAGTGAGGAGTCCAAGCTGGCAGAGCCACTGCTGACCCGATCGCTGCTTTCGTAGCCCGACTCGGTCCTCTGCACGTGCCCGCCGTCCCCGGGAGCCTTGGTCTCCGCGAGGCCTTTGCCTTTCTCGGGTCCTTTCCCAGCAGAGTCCAGGGAACTCCTGCTTCCGGTCTCCTGCTTTCCTTCGTCTTCATAGATGGTCATCAAGCCCTTCTGCTTGGATGCCTCTTTGGGCCAGTTATTTCCTCTCTGATCTTGACCGTGTTTGGACTTGCTGTTTGCTTTGTGCCTCGGAGCGGCATGTCTCTTCTCGGCGTCGCTGAACACGCTGTCCACGTTCAGCGTCTCCCTCATTGGTTTCCAGCTGCGGGCCCGACTGCGGCTGCTGCCGCCGCTGCAAGTGCTACCCCTGTCCCGAGAGTCTTGGCTGCTGTCTGTGTCGTAGCCGGCGGCACCGTCGCCTTTCCCTTTACCAGTCACCTTCTCCCCCAGCTGGGGTTTGACTGAACTTGGAGCTTGTGCGGAGGTCCGGCCCTGAGGCGTGGCTCGCTCTTGGCGGGAAGACCCTCTCCCTTGGCTCGAACATCCAGGCTGGCCGCCGTGCTGCCGAAATCCATTCACTGAGGCGGTGAGGGGCGCTCCAGATTTGAAGCGAGACAGGTCCTCGCTGGACAAATCTGAAAAACAAAGAAAATGCTTTGGGCAGTCACTTTTTAACACGTGAATCGAGTGTGCTGTCTGCTGTGAGAAGGGGCTGTCCACGACAGGCACCTCTGAGTCTGAGGCCTGTGACGTCTGGTTGTGCGGACAGAGGGGCCTCTACGGAGAGCGCCTCGGCTTACCCGATGGCACTGCGACCCCAAAGGGGTTTCTAAAGCAGGCTGTGAGCCCCGAGAATCAACCAGAATGACATGAGGAGCAGAGAAGGGGCACAATCACAAGGTGTCCTAACGGGCACGCCGAGCGTCTGCTGTGGCCCTGTTCACTCACCTCGCTGTCTCCCAGGGTCTCTCCTCTGCTCCCTCTCCACCAACTCTCTTCTTTGGGACGAGAGGAAGTTTTTCTGCTCGGCGACTCTTTGGGCACATTCTCTGGAAATGTCCTTGAGCTTGTCCCTCTGGTCACTATGACCAAGTTTAACTGGAAGAAGAATCATTCTGATCATGAAGGAAGATGTGTATTTCCTGAGCAACTGGAAAACCTGGAAAAATCCTCAACACTGAAAAGATTTAAAACTAGTACAGGCCCTATGAGCACAAGGGTATCATCTACTGCGTTCTACTAAAAGCCCAAGGCGTCAGAATTAGATGGCCCAGGTGTGCTTCGGCAGCCGGCCGCGTCCAGCACCTGCAACGAGCGTGGCTGACGCAAAAATGCGCTGTCTTCGAACTAAGACCCTCGAAAGGCGACAGAGCCCCACTAAGGCTACTGTAGACAGCTCTAGTATCAGAAAAGAAAAGCATGAGGTGTTGAAAGTCTGAAGGGAAAAAGTTATTGGAGCTTTCATTCACAGACGCTGTTGAAATCTGGCTCCTGCCTTTGGCAAGACTAACCATTCTGGAGGCCAAATGTGCATAAGAATGTACTTAACAGCTATGTTTATGGCGAAATCAAGGGGAACACCATCATGCTTGGGGTTTTGGGTTTCCCAACCAGAACTAAACACAACACCCTTCATCTGTTTCACTTCAAACCGAAGTCACACAAATGACAGTCCTGATTAAAACTGACTGTGGGATTAGACAATAACAGGGCCGAGTCTGATCATACTAAGAATCAGGCCAAGCACAAGCAAAGCCTCTAAAGCACCTGTGCTCCCCACAGCGCCGACTGGTGCCCGACGTATCAGGAGATCTCCACATTACAAGGTAGTCCAGCTCAAACTCAATACCTGAGATGGGTCTTAAAGATCCGTGGTAACTGAACCACGGCAAGGGGGAGATCTCCCCCACCCCAGGTGTTAGCCACACAGAGAGGGCAGGGTAGGACTCCCTCTCCGGGGCCTGTGGGCACCGCCCCCCCAACCCCTGGCCGTCTCCTCCTCTATAAAGTGAAAAGACAAGATGAGCTCTGAGCTCCCATCCAGCCCTAAGTCTCAGACCCTATAACGTAGGGAAAAGACATGGACAAGAAGTGAATAGGGTGAGACAACGAGGGTGGGCTGATCTGAGGGGGATACTCCCATCACGGAGATCATAAGTCCACTAGATTATGTCACAGGCCCAATTCAGATTACAGGGTTTGGCGACCCATTGGTACTTCATAAAATGTTGAGTCCACAGTTCAAACAATATCGCTAAATGAAAAACGGGCCTTAAGAACAACACATACATTAAAATATAATTAAGAATGTGAAACACAGAACCTTACACTCTGCTGGTGGCAAGACAACACTAGCAGAGCACCTTGTTCATGTACATGTGGAAGTTGGGTCTACACTAGGAACTGTGGGTTCCATGAAAGAGCTGGGCTGAATTCCAGATTTTAAAATGGCACTTCACATAGTCACACACACACACACACACACACACACACACACACACACACACACAC